GTTGAAACGGTGCTGACGAATAGATGCAATTGAAGTGGATATTCTTCACGTTTTAACTGTTTGTATCTTTCTTGCTCTGTGAGGATGGGAAATATTAAAGCCCACTGGGTCCAACAAATTGGGCTGCAATGTTCTTTCGGCCTGCTATGCTTCTTATCAAAAACAAGTTTGCTAAAAAGTATTTATTATTTTTAACCCAGGGCATTAAGTCAGAGACTAACTTATCCAAGTCTTGGTGAAAATTTGTTTTTAAGTATCAAATTTCCAAAACATTACTCTCTACAATTCTGCTTTTACCATAACCAAGAATAGACAAGGGGAAGATTCAATTTTTCTTCTTAAAATAAAAATTATTAAATATATTTTTATTCATCAACTATGGGAATTGATTCTTATTTAAAATTTTGATAACATTTAAAAACAATAATTTATATATATATATATATATGTATATATATATATATATAAATTATATATTTTATTAGATAATCTAATATGTTATAATTTTATTATATTTAAATTAATATTTTTGTACAATACTATTTATTATATTATTAAATTAAATATATAATATATAGTTTAATACAATTATTGATATAATTTATTTATTGATTTTATCAATTTTTTAGAGAATGAAACTTATAACATCTAATAAACCATCACGTAGTACATTTCAAACAAGATAGAAAACACATGGAGTTTAACAAAAATATTAAAATATTGGATTAATTCTAATAAAATTCACACTATTTTTCTATATTTACTAAATATTATACATATATATATATATATATATATATATATTGATTATTAAAGAGAGCTAAATAATTGGTATAATTTAAGTATAGATTTAAGTCATGCATTAAAAGAAAAACATAAACAACATATAATTACAAAATCCATAAACTTGTTATTCATAAATTTCTTATCTTAGACTTTTAAATTAAGATGTTTTATTTAGTTTTGATTGAGATCTATATGACTTTTTTGTACAATAAAATTAAATGATAATGTTATATACTTTAAAAATATGTTTAACGAGTTAAAGAAAATGAAATATATTTAGTTAGTTAAAGATTTCAATATTACATAATTTTCTATATAAACAAACTACTAAATTTATTAAAACATCTTATAAAGTCTGTTAGTTGGATTAAAATGTATGTATACAATTTTTTGACAAATTAAAAACACTTAGGATTGTAATACATTAGGAGTTAATTTCATTTTTTGTATTTAAAATTAATATTTTTTTCTAAAATGAAAACCCATGAATTGATTAGACTTTTTGTAAATATTTTAATCCTGTAAACTTTTTCAATATTGAATCTTTTGGCTATGTGAGTATTTTTTTTACCCCAATCTTTGTGGACTAGGACCAAACGAAATTGACACGTTATACATTAACTGAGTAACTTAAAAAATGTCCAATTTATATGTATATGTATGTAAAAAAAAAATGAAGTGTGAGAAAACAACCATTTAGATTGAAGAACAACGTGAGTAAAATACTTGGTTAGTTTATTTCAACATCAATTTGATTATATTACGTTTCTCAAATATCAAATCGTTGCTCAAAGGTATCACAAGTTGGTCACATTAGGAGACATAATTTGATTAGTTAAAGCCTACTAGCCAATACTTTGAAGTAGACACCAATATACAATATCTTTCTTTCTCACTAAGAAATACCTACAACTTGAAGAGATTCATTCTTACCGATCCATCTTCCTCTTCTTGTGTTTAAAGAAATTAGGATTCTTATTATTATTGAAAGATTAATGATTCTATTTTTATGATTAACCTTAATTGAGGTGAACACCTATATTATGAAAAAATAATGTGTCAAAATTTGATGAAAGGTGAGTAAGACTAAGATAGTCATACAAATACAACACATTAACCATTAGAAGAACATAAAACACACTCTAGTTGTTAAAAATTTCACTTTAACTATAATTTAAGGTGTTAAAAATCTAACAAAATTTTGGACTCAAAGAAATATGTTAAAATAAATTGGAAATAAATATGTCCCATGATAAAATTCAACCAACTTTTGAAAAAGAAATTACTAAGAATATAAGTTCAAGTATAATCACACATTAAATACAAATAAGAAAATTGATGGACATATTAGAAAAAAAAAGGTATATTGCATTAATTAAAGACAATTAGCGATTTAAAACGAAAGAAGAGAAATTAAAGGAGAAGTTTTAGAAGTTTGGTTTGCTTTATTTGAAAATCTTTTTCCATATTTGATCGTTGGAAAGTTTCCTTTCTTCTTTGTTTTAGAAAAGCAATGTCGCTCAGAGCTTTCTAAGAAACTATCAAAATGATGTTATGTTCCTGTCTTCTTCATTTTCTGTTACGTTCAAAACGGAACATAATAAACAATCTCTTCTTTCTTAAGGCAATGCTTTACACATCATCACATCATACACTTGTATAACTTTTTACACAACCTTTTTTTTTTATAGTAGAGAGAAAGAAAGCAAAAATGAAAATTAAATTAGTTTAATTAGTAATTTGTTTAATTAAATTCAAGTAAAATAAAATATATAAAATTTAAAATGAATTATTAATAAATATAAAAACTAAATTACTAATTAAACTTTAAATTAAAAAATAAATGATGTCTGTAGGGATAAAAAATATTTTATAATATTCTGCAATATGCTAATGCTTGTATTGTATACATAATATCCACTTATAAGAACATCCGCATATCAGTCTTATCCAGTCTTATATTTATATTCAGTCAAATTCAAAATATTAATTTTCTATACACATTTTTTAATCAGTGTTACAATCATGGCTCCATTCCTGATTAACATTACCACAATATAAAAGAGAAGAGTATAATATATATATATATATATATATATATATATATATATATATATATATATATTGAATAAATATCATTTAACAAAAAAAATATTTCATTGTAAAAATACAGAAACGCACAGACAGTACAACATGCTTCTGTATAATAACCACAATATCTAAGGTTTACCATCATCACCTAGTTATTTTTCCTACTTTCATTTTGTTGAACAGATTAAATAATTTTTTGATACTCACCATGTAAATTGCAAGGAATGTATTAGCATTTCTATCTTTCATATTCCTAACTTACCAACAATAAAAACAACAGACTACACTTTCTGCTAATCTTCCAGAGACACTAAGATGCTAAATATACCAGATATTGGGAAACAATCATACAAGTATAAAAAATTCTAAAAACAATGCCTTAAATATTCTAAAAACAATCATACAAGCCCAAAATACAGGGATGGTAGGGACATACAGAAGGAAAAACAAACCACCCTCCTATTCAAGTTGAACATTTCGTGGATTCTTACACATAGGACAACACTCATTAGCAAATGGAATTACCTAGCTTTCATCATGGTGAAGAAAAATTAGGACCACATTAACCTTTTATCTAAGGATCAAAAGGTCGCAAGATTCATTACCTCTCTGGATAATCTTGTTTCCACTGCCTGCAAACTTTTTACTGCATTCTGATCTACATCATCTAAATAATATATACTACTCACATATTATAAGTTACATTAAACTTTATATAGTAGTATCCATGTATAATAAAGTTGTGTTATTTTTCAATAATCCATATCCTATAATTGATGACATAATAATAATATAAGACAAAAGTGAACAACATATCCCCTAAAAGATGAAGTTATGATCCACTATAACATTAATTTACTTTCCTAGAAAATTGTCTAGGAGTAAATTTTTATTATGAATGCTTTAGTTTTTTCTTAATAGTTTTAATGTTAATAATTATATTTTGTGTAGTAGTTTTATTTTTTATATTTAATTTGTGATGAGAAATTCTCTGAGTTATATTGGATTTTCTTATGAGCTTTTCATAAATTGAAGATATAAACAAAATATTTTAAAAAAATGTAGCATTTAACGCTCATTAGTACATTAATAGAAATAAATTTTGTTTAATTTTAATTTTACATGACATTAATTGAAGTGTGTTGTGATAACCATCTTTAATGGATTTTAGACTCTGACATAACCAACATTCTTAAACGTATATTTTCAACTCTAACGTAAATTTAATATTTTCGACTAAGATGGATTTCCTTTTACATCAAAAGTGGAAAATAACATGTGGTGGACAGCCATGTGTAGCATATTATATTATACATTCTACTACTTCTTATCCTCATTTTTATATTATTTTAGATTTATTGTCTAACCTCGCAGATGAATGCCCAAGATTTCATTCTTAAAATGTTAAATAGTTAACCCAAACAAACGGCCGAATGCTGCTCAACTATTGAACCATCCATTTGTGAAGACATGAAACCAACAAAGTCTAGACAATCTTTAAGCTATTTTTTTTTTCAATTGTTTGCTTTAGATCAAATATGATAACATACCATGATTTCATTCAGGCTTTGGAAATATCACCTCAAAGAAAATGGGCACATTTCACAATATGGTTCCTAGTGCGAATGACTCCACCTAAAATCTAGCTCGAAATATGACGGTAACATTTTCATCACCCATAACATTAGCATCTTATGAGGCATTCCTACCAATTGTTCCTTTTCTTATTTTTTTCAATTTCAGAATAAAATACAAAAAGAAAAATAAAGCAGTTACTTTCCCACGCAATGAACTTACAAACTAGTAACATTTACAAAGTTTTAGAATGAACCATGATCTCAGGCTAGCAAATCAAAGAACATGAAATCGTGTTCGAAACCATTTCAATTTAAAAACCACAGCATCCTGTGCCTTCCACCATCAAACAAAACCATTTCAAATATAAACGTTTGGCTCCATCCTCTTTCCCTCAAAACGACCCTATCAATGACATGCAAATTACTCCACCAGCCCAACCCAAACTATCTCCCCAAGTTGGATCCCTATGCTAGAAGAGAAGATTAAAAAAAAAAGGTGATGGAGGTTGTTAATGTTGGAAAGATTGCTGGAGAAAAGGCAGCAGGTGACACAATCTGACTACCATAAATCAATACAACAAGAAATTCCTTGGGAAGAGGTATGGTATTGGGTGTGAAAAGACCTATGATATCAAATTGATCAAATGGCTTACATTGATGATTTGCAGCTGTCCATCTAATTCTCCATCCTGAAACCGACATAACGACGTAAATTGGGAAAACAATTACATAAATTTAATGAAAAATATTATTTGAACCTTAACTTTATAAAGACTGGTTGCCATAGAAATTTTTGTACAAAAGGCGTCAAATCATCAGTGTCTAAATATCACACTACATAAACAAATTTGTAAGGCCAAGTGACATGTGAGTAATATCTAAAATTGATGAAGTCTCATTTTTTTCTCCACATGTCCCCCTACCGCAATTGAGACAGCAGCTGCAGTTTCTGATAGATCCCTCCTCATCTCTGAAATTTTAGACCCCACATATTCTTTGAACTTAGAGACTGCATCAACCAACTTAAAGAGTTCGCCAGCACGCATTTGAATTTCTTCTTCACTTTGTTTAATCGCTTCCTGCAACTGCAATTGGGATGTCTTGACAAAAATGAGGTTTATTAGATAGTGTATTGTCACATAAATCACACTTCAGTAAAGAAAGGAAAAACACACTTCGCTGCATTCAAATTTAAAAATAGGTTGTGTTTATAATTTTGGGGTTATACCAAAAACAGGTACATATTTTACTTGGATTATTTCTTATTCTGGGCCTGGTGGTAGTTTGTTCAGCTTGATGTCCCTAGGATCATCTAGAACAATTACATACGCATGCCAAAGCTAAATCTCAAAATGAATGTATTATTGGATTCAACAGCATGCAATCTAAGAGCAGTTCCCTTCTTCACCCAAAGTACTTCCCCGCAGGCCATCAACACGGACTAAGCATAAAATAACTCCGAAGAAGCTAGAAAAAGAACATAGCAACTATTATGCGGTCAAAATACTCGCACAACAAACACTCGTTCAGGTGCACGGTATGAATAAGAACTCAGAAAAAAGATCATAGAAACACAACAATACAATGTAAGAAAGATGATAGCATGTTAGATAAGTATTCATTCAACTGTAGGAAACAGTGAAACAGGCTAATCAATGCAACAACATAACAAGCACATTCTCCTTAACTAGAAGGATTCTTGGCATTTCAAATTCAATATATTATTAAATAGATAATCACAAAAAGAAATTACCTTGAGAACCTCCGCTGCCTCTTTTTCCATCATATCCATTTCATGATCTGCTAACTGCACTTCCTCCAACATTTTTTTAGCCTCAGCATAACACCCGCTTGTGTATTCCTGTGTTTCCTTCTTTTTCTTGATTAGTTGAGCTTCCATCTGGTAGATTAATCAACAAGCAACAGAAATGGAAGTCAAACAGAAGTCATCACAAGGAAAAATCACTCTTCTGTCCAATATTTGATCTGTATATTTTATCCTAATCTATATGAATATTTCCCTTATTAAAAAAAAAAAATCATACTGGACCAGTCTTCATCTTAAATAGCGAGAAACATGTAGTCTTGCTTAGGAGTCATGGAAATAAGACATGTGATCTGAATTTAAGTGACAAACACTGCCAAACACCGCCATACTACCCTTACATCAAACTTTCTAGTGTAAGTGACAAACACCGCCAAACACACACGACAATGCACTTACTTGATCAATGCGCAACTGCACTGCTGCTAGCTGATTTCTTTTCCCTTCAAGCCTCGCAGCATTTTCACCAGACTTCTGCTGATAAGAAATGCACTCTTCCTGTTTTACCATAGAAACCTTTTTTATTTCATCAGCAAAGGATCTAAGCGCAGGCTTCAGCATGGTTTTGTGATCAATGCCCATTATCTCAGCAGGAGTAGTCCCCTTGCCATTCAACACATACTGAAATCCATTCCCAATCTTCAACCTAAAACCACTCAATCAGTAACATTGACGTAAGAATAAAAATGAATTTAAGACTCACCACAATATCCTTTAGCTAGCATTAAACACAATTTTCTTCATAATATGACTGCATAATGAAAATGGTGATAAAAATCTGACCTCTTAAGGGCTTGGTTACAGTCCAGAGCGAGAGCTTCTAGGTCGTTGAGTTTGTGCGAGATAGTGTTGTTGATATCCCACGACTTCTCTTCCCAAGCATTTCTCTCAAGCTCAGCCTCTGCAGTGTCCCTCTCCACCGCATGTAACTCTTTCTTCATCCTATCCACGTCCATCGCATTGAACGTCTGCGCCTCCACACGCCGCTTCAGCTCCTCGTTCTCCTCGTAGATACTCCCCCTCTCCGCCTCCTTCGCGTCCAACTGCTTCTCCTTCTCCGTCAAAGCCTTCTCCGCCTGCTCGATCCGCGACGACAGCTCATCGATCATCTTGTGAAACTTATTTACGTCGTTCTCCAGAATCGCTTTCTCCTTTTCCAGCGCTTCCTTCGGCGAGGGCGCGGTCCGGAGCCGCTCCAGCTCAGCATTCAGCTCCTCCGCGTAGCGCCGCGTCTCGTCAAGGCGTTCCTGGGCCGCGGCAGTCTGGTGTTGGATCTTCTCCTGGATGTTGCGGTCAACTTCCTCGACGGCATCGTCGTCGCCGCGGATGTAGTGCATGTAACTGTTGACAGTGTATTGGTTGATGGCGTTGTGCTGTTTGGGAGAAGAAGAGACGTGGAAGTGAAATTTGGCTGTATTTGATTCTATATCATGGGACTATGAAAGACAGTTATCTTAGTGCATGGAAAGTTATGCCAGGTTATCTTGAAGACACTTCAGGTTGATTTCTATCCCATAGTCCTCTCATATATGAAAGTAAAATATGTTTAGAAGGCCTATAATGGATCTTCATTTTAACAACATTTGCATTTGCGGTAGGAATCCATCCATGAAATGATTGGAGAGGGAGCTGAGGCTGCAAACCTATCTTAAATGGGGGAAGCCACTATCCTGTTCACTAAATCTGCCTTTGTTTACAGTTGCTTTCTCTTGCTCTTTAGCGTATAAAATACTTTTGCCATTTTTTTCTAATTGATTGGATGTAGCTTCCATTCATTGGATGGTATGAAATGGATTTGCCATTTCTGTGGCGTGTTTTCTCAGGCCAACTCTAATAAGAAAAGACCATTGGGATTTAGCCAAAGAGGACTTCAAAGTGCTCAACAGATTTTAAGGAAAGCAGCATCATTTTGTCTGACTCACAGTGTCAAATTGAAGCTTGAAGTTCTCTGTATGCAGTATCTTGGAGATTTATGTCACCAGTAAATTTGGCACCTGCGACGGGGTTAGTCTCAAAGAACTGCAAAAAATTGGTATATGTCAGCTCTGGTAACTAAACCTTTCCGTGGAAAAAATCCTCTTAGTTGCTGAGATGGCAATGGTGGGAACTGAACCAGATTACAAAAGGTCCTGTGGTGAAGACTTGTCAACTTGCTTTCAATGAACGAAGCTGGGAACGAACGATATAAATAAGTCCATGAAAGCAGGGCGAGAAACCAAGAAAGCAAAAAATGCAGCAAAGGTTTTACGCAAAGGAACCTCGACTTAGTGGTTCAGAACAAATCTAGGGTAACTCGTTCTAGATATAGATCTTCTCAGAGTGAAGATACAAGCATTTACAGGAAGCCAGAAGTATGTGAAACTCTCCAGGAGAATCATGTTTCTGATTCATCTGATGGACTTAATAAAAATGGGACAGTTTTGAGCAAGACAGGTTGTCCCTTTAATTCAAGGTGTGCAACAACTTGTGTTCTCTCGAAAATGAGGTGTTGGTACTGTCTTCCATCTGAGTTGTAAAAATCTGGTTTACTAAATGATTTTTATTAATCTTAAATGGAGTTTGTCCGGAGGCAACTTCATGAGTCTACTCAGCCGATATGGTATGATTGCCCTTTCATATTTTCTGCTTTTCATTCAGTTGCTGGAGAAAATGCAAGTTATCATCAGTTGACATCTACATATGGTCCTTCTCATCTTATTTTCAAAACACTTTTGTAGTTACATGCCTTTTTTTAGTAAGGTAAACTTGAGAATTTCCTTTTCCAAATTTGGACAATTTTTCATACTGAATTTACCACTTTCTTGCTTGCTCATTAGGGCATTATACTTATTTATTGGATAGAAGTGTTTGCTTCTTTAATTTCCCTAATATGTTTCTTTACAGTGAAATGCTTTGCGTATCCTGGTCAAATTGATGAAACACATAAATTTCTTCTTAGAAGCATATCAATTCTTGTCAGCAGAAACCCATTCTACCATGCGCTTTCCTCTATTCCTCTAGATTATTTTAATCATTTGGTTGCAAGGGAGATTCCGGGAGATGTATTTACTATTGAACGCTCAGAAATAGTTCATGACATATGCTGGTATTCTTTGAAGAGCTATCATTCCAAGCTTGCAAGGTATTTGTCCCGATTAGTTTGATTCATACATGTACCTTCCTATTTTTATGAGAGAAAACACATTTCATGTGCATATTCAAGTCACAAATGTACTTATCCTTAATCTTCCTGGAGTACGCTGTGACTGATATACCTGCACAAGGTCCCGTCTTTTATGTGCTGTTCTTAAGAAATGGTTTTGCGTTGTCAGCTAGTATTTATAATCAGCCAATCCAGTTCTGCCTTAAAGAGTACCCTCTGATCCAATAAGGAATTTTATGTGCTTTATCCCTATCTTCCTGGATGCGCTTGTGCTGATTAACTACAATTGTCACGTATTTTTTTGTGCTTTATAAATTGTCCGTTTGTTCATATGTATTTATCTCAGCATCAATTTTCCTGCTTAAAACGGTACCTGCTTGAGTCAATAAGAAGAATTGTTGTTGGTATTCATCTTACTCAACTACACGTTTTCACTGTCTTCACTTCCATGGTCGACAGTGGCTATATTTCCCTTAAAGAGATCATCTTACTAAAATCGAGTTGACAGCGAACAAATGAATACCTTGATTAATAATTGCTATTGAACATTGTATTAGAAAAGTGTTGCCATGTTTATATACTCTGATCATGCCCCAAATCCTTCTGTTTTAAGGAAATGGTGGATTGATGTCATTGCTTGGTATTTTGCTATATCACGGGCTCTCCTCTTGAAACATTGTCTTGCAAAGGGCTATTTTATAAATCCTGAACACTCTGTTTTTTTGTTACAGAACTATTCAGTTAATCGTGCGCCATAAAGGTTTGAAGACCTGGCTTCTTGGTTGATGGTAGCCTTTGTACTTTCTCGCGGAGATTCCTGTAATCTTTCAAAAGGTCATACATCTTTATCTTCCTATTATTGTTAAGGGACAGTTCACTTAATTGTTTATTTGGACAGTTTCATGATCGTGAATACTATCATTTTCTTGGTTGTAGATTCATAGTATTCCAGATTACTTGTCATGACTGTTTTTGAAACATGAAATAAAGTTGAACCCCTTGGAGTTCTTGACATCTCTTCCCTTTTATAATGTTACATTATGGGTAGCGTGAAGTCACAATTCCATATTTACAATACTTTATTATTATTCTCTTTCATGTTCATAATTGAACTTAAGTGTAATATTCGAAACATTGAAATCTGATATAACGTATTCATGATATGCTTTATTTTCTGTTCAAGCAGTTGCAGTATATTACTGGAGTGCAAATGTGTGTGGGGTTTTAACCTGACTCTTAGCCTTTGATCTCTTCCTTTGTTTACTTTCCTACCACCATTGGGCGGTTTATGACCTTTGTGTGCTGATGATACTCTGACAGGTGTCAAAATTACTTGCTGTGATGTGTGTAGTTTTTCCACAGCACAGCAATTCTGTCTGTGTGTCTTTCGCGAGTTTGGGTGAAAATATTCGGTTTTCAGATGCCACCCAGCTTCAATTGGAACTCATCTTACTCCATCACTTCTTTACATCCAACTGGGCAGATGCAAGGTAGGCATTCTGTCTATCAATCTAAGGACATTTATCATCTGCCATATGAACCTGACTTCTGACGTAGAAGCACTTGATTTTGGTTGCATTGGAACAATCCTGCAATGTCGCAGTCCTATTTATTCAGTTTTTGCCATACATAGTAGTGCTATTGACATTTTTCTTTTATACTCATGTCTGTTATCCCATGTGAACTGAGATGCCATAAAGGACTAGCTTCTGAGTTCACATTTTCATCCATTTTTGGGCTATTCTACTAAGCCTAAATGGCAGAATCAGAACTACTCTAATGTTTTGGAAATCTGAGCTCTTAGTGATCTTGAAGAGTGATTTCTATTGGTCCACAATGTCTAGCTGTTTTGTAGGAGCACTGCAATCCTTGGCATCCTTCCATTTGTGCTTCTAGAAGGACCGGAGATTATATTAATTTGGTCATTTGATGACATTGTGTTCAAAATAATCCTTACGCGACGAGTAAATAGCATTTATAAAATAAGCCATGACAAGTGTAGTAGTTTTTGAAGAGGCAAGATTCTTTTTGCACAGCCTCTGAAAGTGAGATTAAGCCAATGCTCTCCATAGACAATCCTATAACACTAAACGGTGCATTGACCCACCAAATTCTGCATTTCAATCCCTGCACCAGTTCACACCACACTTACATGAATGCTGATTATTAGTCCACACCAGGTGTACTGAGTTATGCTTGTTCAATGCTGTATGTGCCTTTGAAGCACAGTTCCTTAATTTCACTAATAGAAGTCAATTCAGGGTTTACGTTACGGGATCTTATAGCATCAGGGAGAGTGCACATCTGGCCTCACCTCGGTAGAAGGTTGTTCTTTTGCTATTGTACAAGCAAGCAAAGAATGTTTTTATTCGTGACATATCCACTTGCAGCAATGATCTCGATGTCTTTGTTCCTTCCTGTTGCAGGCTCGTGCTGATACCAGTGTACGATCTTGAGACCTGTGCGAGTTCTGGCCGGTCCCCATCCACACCTATCCATCAGTATCAAGTTTGCTTGGGCATGACTCTATATTAGTTTACTACAGGACTTGTTGCCTACCTCCCACAGTGTTTCAAGATGGATGCTGGTTGGTCATCACGAGACTGGCATTTCAGAGACGCTCGGTTGTAATGTTCTATGCCACTTGATTCTCTTTTCCGGTATGTAGCTACTGTAAACCTATATCCACACTCTGCATATCTCCCGTTAAGCTATCCTTTTGCCCTTATAAAGGTCCAATCCTCACAAATTTTTCATCCCATCTTCAGCATGAGGATGTCTGAGTAATGGTCGGGCCTTTTTGAACTGTCGAGGACATCGTGCCCCAAATGGCGGTGCCATGGGGTTTTCACAGTTGTTGATGGATGTGGCTCCGCCATTCCCAACATTTTTCAAAGAAAGCCAATATCTGTCAACAATATCTCCTTTTGCAGCTGACCACACCACAGCATGGGCGTTATTTTTAGGTGGACCGAGACCGGAGAAAGACCTCGCTCAACGTCTTGATCCATTCCTGCGGTGTGGCCTCCCATCGTGATTTCATAAGTTCATATGCTGTCACTTTGCTTAAGAATGTACACTGTACATTCTGCAGTTGTTTCTGTAGTGACAGTATGTGTGCAATGCAACGCTTTGTCCCATTCTTTATTACATGCACTCCCAAACTTCCACAATAGCACTGTTCATCGTTGACATCATTGTCTTGGGTGGTGGCAGTTTCACTTTTTCGACAATTAAGATGTTCATCTCTTGTGCTCTATTGTCTATATCCACTATGGAATCTTGACGCAGTCGTGGTTTGGTTCTGGCCAATGTCCTTTTCTGGAGTGGTTTGACTTGCAACATTTCAGCACTTGGTGCTTAAGACTCTTGTGAATGTTTACGATCTACAAATGCAATTGGAGCTAACGAGGGGGCCTTCTTAAATTATTCTGGCGGCCTCTCAATCCATGTTTGTGTGGGCAAAACATGGTTTCCCGATTGTCGAAGAAGACTGCTCCCTGCTCCAGTAGGATATTGTGATGAAGCAAAGAAGGGATTTGTTCCCCAAACACATGTTTTGGAATGTGTCTGAGGTTGCTTTGAACTGTTAGCGAGGCATTCAAATGTGCGTGGAAAGTGGATGACTCTATGAACAGAGAACCTATCTTCTGTGTTGGCACCATGAGGTGCAGGTATGATATTTTGATCCGCTTACTATGTAGTTATGAATTAATTTTAAGCATTAAGGTCTACAGTATTTGTGTTCAATGGCTACAGCAATTAATCAAACTCTTCTTGGTTTTAAATTTTTTCAACTTTGATCATCCATTCTGCTTTTTTTTTTTAAAGATTTATTAACGACTATTCATGTGCTGTATAATTGACATTGCCGCGGCAATATTTTCAACAGATTTGCCCCTAAAGTTATAGTTCAATTCTGCTTTCTTATGTGCCCGTCCTTTAACAATCGGCCAAGTGAATGTTGTCTAGTTTTCAAGAAAACACTGCTGCACAAGCAATATGTATTTTAGCTTATGTTTCAAAACGAGCTATGTATGTCATTCTTGGTTTTACCTGTTGCCTGTGTGTTTCATTTTTCTATTGGCTTCAACAAACTATACTGCAACGAGGACTTCCTGGGACACAACTGCCCTTACGGACACAGGAAGTTTATCGCATGCACTTTGTTCGATTTGCATTTTGCTTTCTTTCCAAAGGCAGCGACCATAAGGAGCCAGTAGGCATGGAATTTAGTGCCTTCCTTTGATAGATCCGCTGGATGCTTTTTATTTACTAATCACCCGATGGTGATCTCAGGGCATCTCAGCACTGAATTTGTGAGACTCAATTTTAGAGTACCACGACAACCTGGGTGTAATGTACTTACAGGAGGACATATTGCACATCTTTATATCCACTGCTAACTTCTTTTATCATTAGTCTACTCAGTTATGTTTTCTTTATCTTTTTGTTTTTTACGGGACGGAAGGCTGGTTCGAGACCCGCCATCAAAAGGAACTTGGCCTTTCCAGCTTGGAACGTCCGACCTTTTACTTACTTTGGACATGGAAGTCGGTAACATGTTTTGCATAATACTAGTATTGTTTAATTCCCTGTGGTCTGCTATATTATCATCACTGACTAAAAGGCGTTTTTCCAGAGGCTCAGCTCATCATAGGCAAGGATTCAAAAGCAGACACCAATGTCGGCTGACGTTCTTCTCGAGGCGTGCGATATGGTCTCATTGACCTTCCTGGTCAAGATGCCCCCAGCCATTCCCCTGTCTTCTGCTGGCTGGTTCTCCGCAATTGTGGCCACTCCTGCGATAGTGCACAGACAAGGTTCGAGTCTTTGGTATGGCCATGTCGCTGCTGGTGACAAGACATAGATCAGATTGTCTCGGAATGCTGTCAATGCAACTTTTACCTGTCCGAAGCATTTGAGGTCATGAACTTGAAGGGTGCAAGGGTTTCGGCAAAGCCAGGAAGGCCTCCGCGAAGCCAAATCAGTTGGCCCGAGAACGAGTCACCTCCAGAACTGTGGCCGCCGACCAAATTGGGCTTTCATGGGTCAGGCCCGGCGAAGTTTGCACTCTTCCATTCTTGACAGGGCATCTCCTGTATGTATGGGGTTCCCACCGGAATTTGGAAGAGAAAGGAACATTTAGTCTAACTATTCCGACAGGAGTCCCACCTCCCACAACGGCTGTGGCAGGGTTCAGAAAAGAACCTCAGCAGCATTATATTTTTTAACTTTTATTTAATTATTTTTTCTTGCCTCTTTATAGGGAGGCATGCAAACTGAGTCTCATTCATCTCTGTCGTTCCATACACGAGAAGAGCAAAGGAGAATTTGCTATCCATCTCTGTACGAGTTCCAATTGTATATATGTTCTGTAAATGAATGTTGTATACTTACCACATTCCTATTCCATTAAAAAAACTATTTGTATTTTTACTATGATCACTCGAACTGTAGTAGTCGCATTGCAGTGTGTGTAACAAACAAAGCATTAGTTCAACTTTCATGTTAACAAACTAAGAATATCTCAAAGAACTCCGTACAACTAAATAATAATTTATTTTTTTTTCAAAACGCATGAGATCATTTTAGGTTGAATGATTTAGTAAATCAAATTTAATAGTTCAATTAGATAAAATGTTCTTTACAGGATTATTTTCGTAATATATCTGAACTGTTTTTGTCGATTATTATTCAACAATTTTCATATGAAATATCTGTTTCATTCTACTCTGCCATCGTCGTGTTAAAACAAAAAAACACGAAAAGGCATTCTCTTTTTACTTTATCTTTTTTGTTTGGTTATTTTTTTATTTCATTTAAAAATATCATATCCAATACTTCATATAAATAAATAAAATATAAAATTAAACGCAAACATAATTAGCGTACTTTCCAAAATTTGTGTGTTAGGGTTGTCGTTTTCTTCACTGTCCAGTTCTTTCCAATTCCAAAAAAAAAAAAAAAAAATCGCTATATTGAAGCTTGCTTTCCTCAGTTTAATCTGAACAGTTGAATAGTTTACTTAAAAACTTTAATGATTTTATATACACTTGGCTTGTAGCACCTATAATAGAGTGGGAATTAGTAACAAAAATTCAAATTTAAATCGATTGTGGCATGGATGTGAGACCTACCGCGCGACCGCCAACCCAAGGACTCTTTCCTTCCTCCACCGCCACCCCACTCAGTCGACTCCCACCGCCGCCAGTACCCCTCCCGCGACTCCGACGTCAGCAGCCGCCCCTCACGTTGGCGTCGGCGGGGGAACGCCCCACTCTCGATTTCTACAAAGACCGCCAGTCCAGCAAACGGTAGTTTCCACATACAACTCCTCCTCTCCTCGCAACAATTTCCCCAATCACCTCCAAACCAACCTTCCCCTCTGACAAAGACATCCTCGAAACCTAAAATTCTCCTCTCCCTCCTCGATTTTCCCCTCCTCCAAACTAGAAGAGATCTCCTTTCCTCCTCAAAAGCGCCTCAATTACCCTTTCAAAATCAACAAAATCAATTCTCCGTTCCCCAGCCGCGCCTCACCAACATGGCCAGGCTTCCTCGCTCTCATTCACTGGCTAGTCCAGATCG